CCATCACGGATACGGCGGCTCCAGTATCTACAAGGGCACATGCACGAACGCCATCCACAAGCACGTCTATCACGTTCGACGGGCTTTCCTGAGGGCTTCCGCAGTTCGACAGCGTCGCAGCCCTTGCCTCGTGGACTGCGACGACTAGTTTTCCTGGTCGCCCGCGAGTGGACGTGGCCGCATCGGCGACAGTGAGCGACGTCGTGGAGATGGTGAACGGCGGGTAGACGGAACGGGGCGGGACGACGGTGACATAGGCGGCGGTTGGTCATAAAAGCGGCTTGACTGGCTGGGAGAGTTGGAGGCGACCTGCGGTTGCTGCACACGATTGCAATATCGTGCTACATGACCAACGCAACCGCAAGCAAAGCAGATGGGGCGATTGTCAGCAGTGCGCCATTGGTTTGCGGGTCGCATCCATGTCGCAGAACGCGATTGGCGAGCCGGCTGCTGATATGAGTGCATGGTAGGCGGCACTCGGGGCACGTGGGTGACGCCGGCGTATGTAGGCGAGACAGGTTCTCCAAAGGCCTGGGGCCTCGCGACGGGTTCGGTGTAATCTAGGGGAACAGTGACAGAAATCGGTGGGGGCGGCCTGGCGACAACTTGGGCGTAGCTGAGTGGCACCGATGCAGGAGGCGGCTGGTGGTATTCAGGGACGACCTCCGCGATTTCCTGCTGAATGGCTCGGCGGAGCGGAGGTAGAAGTGTACTGGATGGCTGTTGAGCATGTTGTGGGGAAGCAAAAGCCAGTAGAGAGACCTGGCGGGCAACTTCCTCACGCACGAACGACTTGATTTCGGCGAGCAAGGTTGCGTGGTCAGGAACTGCTGACAAGGCCGAGAGATCAGCATCACGTGGTGGCGGGCGACGGGTCATCAAGCGCTGCCGCCGCAGCTCGTCGTAACTTTGGCATAACATGATGACTTCTGCCACAGTGCGGGGGTTCTTTGCCAGGAGCATGGTGAAGGCATCGTCGGCGATGCCTTTTAGAACATGCGTGATTTTGTCAGCCTCTGACATGTTCAGGTCGACTTTCTTGCACAAGTCAAGGATGTCCTCAATATAACTTGTGAAGGACTCGCCGGTCTGCTGGGCTCGTTCACGTAAACGCTGTTCAGCTTGCAGCTTACGAACGGCCGGGCGGCCGAACACGTCGACGACAGCGGTTTTAAAAGCGGACCATGTCGGGAAATCAGATGCGTGGTTGTTGTACCACATGCCGGCCACACCCGCGAGATAGAAAAACAGGTTGCCGAGTTTACCTGCCTCGTCCCAATGGTTGGGGACGCTCACGCGTTCGTACATGGCCAGCCAGTCCTCGACGTCGGTGCCATCCGCTCCGGTGAAGACAGGAGGGTCGCGGATGCGGGGGACACCGGGACATGGCGTCGGCGTAGGAGGAAGCGTTTGCTGGGCGGCGTCTTGGTACATGGTTGGAGGCACGGTACGGGATCGAAGCTCCAAGGGCATCGAATGCTGACCGAAGGTGTTTGAAGGGCACAGCACTCTCAGCACTCTCCACCAAATTGTTAAGCGGTTTATTGGCGGACACTCAGCGATGATTCACGACAGCGACAGTCAATTCGGGGATCGACTCTCTGCACGAGCTGCTCTTCTTCTTAAGAAAAGGGCGACCCACTAGAAGGCGCTGAAGAGGACGACCCACTGTTCAAAGGCTTTACCACAACAGTAATACATTTTTTCTTGCAGATATGCATACTTATTAGCTTGCAGCTAGTTTCTATACATAGGCACTTATTAAAAAAAATACAATGAAAATCGAATCACACACACATGCTTACATGTCTTGACTCCACAGAAAAAATGATTTACATGCCATGCTGAAATTACGTGCCGTTTTAATCTCTAGGGGGACCGTGTTCCATATTTTTGTTCCACTAAACTGTATCAGTCTTTCTCCGTAAACATTAAAACATTTGGGCAGATTGAAATTACCATTCGAAGCATGTCGCGTATTGCGTTTAGGAATTGAAAAAAGATCAGCAGGCAAAGGTGAATTTCTATTAATTATGTTATTTACTGAAACAGCAATTTTGTAGTCACGCAACATCGGAACTGAGAGAATGCGTTGTGACTGGAAAATATTATTACTTAGTTAGCCTCTGCGCGTGTTAGCGTTCGGCTTGCGTAGGCGATCACTCTTTCTGTGTCATCTTGCCGTTGCACAAGCACAGCCCCAAGACCTACATTGCTAGCGTCTGTGTGAAGCATCGTCGGGGCTTCGTCGAAGTGGGCGAGCACAGGGGGCGTTTGGAGACGTTGACGCAGGTCATTAAAGGCAGCCTCCAGTTCTTCTTTCCACTCAAAGGCAACATCATCTCTTGTGAGACGAGTTAGTGGCGACGCGATGCGGGCGAAGTCTGCGATAAACCGGCGATAATAGGCTCAAAGGCCTAGGAAGCGTCTGACAGCCTTCTTATTGGAGGGTACTGGGAACTGTGCGACGGCGGCAATTTTTCCAGGATCGGGCCGGACGCCTGCGTTGCTGACGACGTGACCGAGAAACTGAAGTTCGTGAAAACAGAAATGGCACTTTTCTGGTTTCAATGTTAGGCCCGCGAACCGTATGGCACGTAAAAAAACTTCCAGCCTTTTGAGATGCTCGTCAAAAGTGGTCAAAAACACTATAACGTCGTCCAGATAGACTAGGCACGTCTTCCACTTCAATCCCGAAAGTACCGTGTCCATAAGCCTTTGAAAAGTTGCGGGCGCGGAGCACAAACCGAAAGGCAAGACTTTAAATTCGTATAAACCATCTGGGGTCACAAAAGCGGTTTTCTCTCGGTCTCTTGGGTCTACCTCGATCTGCCAGTAACCACTCCTCAGGTCCATGGAAGAAAAGTAGCGAGCGTGCCGAAGTCTGTCAAGGGAGTCATCAATACGTGGGAGCGGGTACACATCTTTCTTGGTCACCCGATTCAGCTTCCTGTAGTCCACGCAAAAACGCAGGGTGCCGTCCTTTTTCTTTACTAGCACTACAGGCGATGCCCAGGGGCTCTGCGACGGTTGAATGACGTCATCAGCAGGCATTTTCGAGACTTGTTGTTGTATGGCTTCGCGTTCCTTTGAAGCTACGCGATAAGGGTTCTGGTGGATAGGTCTCACCGTGTCCTCGGTGATTATTCGGTGCTTTGTCAAAGGTGTTCGACCAACTCGTGATGTCGTTGAAAAGCAGTCGCGGAATTCGGCTAGCAGCTGAAGAAGTCTCTGTCGCTCGTCCTTTGACAGAGTGGTGCCAACATCGAGGATGGGTTCTGGTTCTTGATAAGGCTCTTTGTCCAATACCGACAAACATAAACTGCCTCACATTTCTACAATATTGTCGTACGAAGCGATAGCTGTGCCCTTCGGAAGGTGCCGGCGCTCAGCACTAAAGTTCGTCAGAAGTAAATTCGTGCGTCCACCAGTGAGACGGACGATACCTCGTGCGACCAAAATGCCATGACTAAATAGCAGCGAGCCAATTTGGTCAGCAATGCCTTCGCCATCAAACGCTTCGTCGCCTTCTACTGAAACAAGAGTACATGACCGGGGCGGGACGACCACATCATCATCAATTATACGTAAAGTGTTGCTTATTGCGTCTGAACAGTCAACTAAACCAGGGCTGTTGCGGAATGTAATTGAACGGTCCGGGATGTTGATGACGGCACCATATTCTCTTAAGAAGTCCATCCCTATGATCAAGTCCTTGCAACACGAGGTGAGGATGACGAACGTCGCCACGAAAGAAGAGCCACCGATGTCGAGTCTTGCTGTACACCTTCCGACAGGCATCAACAGCTGGCCGCCTGCTGTCCTCAGGTGAGGTCCCGTCCACGTAGTCTTCACTTTTTTGAGGCGTACGGCAAGGTTTTCACTTATGATAGAAAAGTCGGCGCCGGTGTCAACTAAGGCTGTTACTTGCTGTCCGTCTACCGAAACGGTAAGATCTGTGGTCACAGTTTCGTCGGTGTTACAACTTCTCGGCTTTACGGCGTCCTGTGGTACAAGTAACGGGGGCTTTTTTTCGTCGCCTTGACGGCCTGCAACCTCACCCCCGGATGTCGCCGCCTTAAGTTTCCCCGGCTTGGACTCGGTGACCTCCTTCCAGTGACGTCGGCTGTAGTTCGGTGGCGCGACGAAGGCGAATATGCCGGAGACGGAGAGCGTGGTCGACGTCCCATACCTGGCTGGTAATCAGGCACACTGTCGTCATTATTGGCACGGCGGTTGTCAAAATGAGACTGAGACAAGGGGAGTCCTTGAAAATGAGTGTCCCGGCGTGGTGCGTAGCCGTCGTTGGCGCGTCGATCGTCAGACCATTGCCGAAGAGGTCGAAACATATCTACGCGGTGCCAGCAATGGCGGGAAATGTGGCCCACACCTCCGCAGGTAAAACAAAGCGGGCGCCTATCTACAGTGCGCCAGGCGTCTGTTTTACGAAGCTGTGGACGCAGCAATGGCTCGTAATGTGGCAAATGCCGTGTATCGTTGGGAGACGGCTCTTGGTACGGCGGCATTTCGTACGACGGTACGACGGCAGGTCGTCGCGGTGTCTGTTCTTGTGGCGACCAAGGAACGGCTGCCCGTGGGAGTGTGGAGCATCAGGCGGGGTCGCGGGCCGGCACCTCCACGAGTGTCGCAGTACCTCCACGAGTGTCGCAGTTTTTGTAGCATTGTATCGCTTTATCCAACGTTGCGACAAGCACTCTTGTGTGCAAGGCTCAAAGTGCTAGGCAAGTCGTGTCTATTCTTCGCGTACAAGACGACATATACATGCGTTAAATATTTCTTTAATGTATCAAGCTTCCATCCTAACCTGGACTTGTGCCTTATTTGAATGCATACAGAGTAAGGCAGCCATGATTCAAATACGTCAGTGCTACTATACAAGTGTTTCCGCGTTGAATCTATCGATTGTTTTTTTTTCTCACAACTCTGTGGTCCGCAAAACGATGTCAAATAGACGCGCAGCCTGACGGCCATCATCGCACCTGCACCGTACACCAGGACGCGTAGGCGTACATGTCCAGCTCGCCGTGGCGAACCAACAGGTTGACGAAGGTGCTGAAGAAGGGCAGGTTCCGCGTGCGGAATTCTACTGTCCCTTTCAGATCGACGCCTTCGCTTCGCATCACCTCCGTCCACCGTTGCATCGAGAGGTTTGCCGATGAGTTGTACACCACGTCATCCGGAACCGTCGAGACCTTCGGTTCGCTCTTGTACAAGTCTCCTAGCAGCGGACCGAACATCATGTCCTCGAGCTGGTGCATCTCCTGCGAAATGGAAACGGAGACTGTACAAAAAACGCCTGCTTCTGGAATGTCCAGCCTTTGCGGTACAGACACTCATAAGGGCGCGTATGATAGGAATAGGGAAGGGGGGGGGGCTGCAGCTTCTGGCTATCTGAGGGGGAGGGGGGGGGCTAGAGTCCCACATATCGTTGCTCATGTAGTTGGGACTGTAAGGTCGCTCTTTAAGGTGCAGGGTTGCAGCCATGAAGGCTTCTGACGCAGTGGTGGCTGAGAGGAATATCGATGTTGCATACTAACAGCCGTTTACGTTCCATTTTTACCACCAGGTACCAAAACTAGGCCATTGTGAGAATCACGCACGTTATAATTTCGTTTTCATTTTGACATCTACCTACTGCAAAGATGTGTGTGTGTGTGTGTGTGTGTGTGTGTGTGTGTGTGTGTGTGTGTGTGTGTGTGGTGTGTGTGTGTGTGTGTGTGTGTGTGAGAGAGAGAGAGAGAGAGAGAGAGAGAGAGAAGGGGGTCGAGCCGTTCTGGTGAGACTTTGCCCCGCCTTCTTCTTAATGGGGAACCCCTGCACACGCATCTGACACAAATTGATAATTTTCCTAAAAATATTTGTTTAGCGCTTGCAACGCTGGGATATGCGATGTGTCATGATTTCAACTGCATGCGTGCTCTCGCGCACTTGTGTGTGTGTGTGACGTCCAACACGTGCACAAGACACTATAGACGAGCTTTCCACGGAACTCCTAATTTCTTAAAACCTAATTTTTTAATTCCCCTCAAAATTATCCTGATTTACATCGCTTAAGGCAATGCGGTGGGCCTCTTGAACGTTTTCAAGGGGTGGGATCTCGAGTTACTTTTTAATCGAATTTCGATACAAGCACAAGCATGCTGCAGGGGCGGGAACTGGGGGTGGGAGAAAATTTACCGCACTTCTCTACCGCCCTCCCTCCTTATTTACTGGTGTAGATCAAATAAAACAAACTCACCAATATACTTAATAGTGAAAATCACGCGAGGACGTGTTTCTACAATGACTTGACTGTGGCCTTGGGCTTTCTGAGGTAGGTTTTGGAGAGGGAAAACTTTTCCGCGAGCAGTTAACATGGTTTTTGACGGGGTCGATCGACGGTGACGCAACTACTTCATATTATACGAACGAATTTATCGCAACGCTGGACAAATGTTGGCAAATATATGTAATATTTGTCAATGTCGAAAAATCATTCGACAGAGTATACGATTTTAATTTATTGAAAAAAATAGTAGGAGCCTTTTAAACAACAGTGCGCTTGTAGAGCAGCTTGGCTATTATACGTCTAACCACCACCAATACGTGTAAAAGGCAGTTTAAAAGGCCACGACCTACCGGGACGAAACACAACAACACAATCTTAGAACCTGAATGCATAACAAATGCGTACAAGGGTTCACTTTTTTTTTTCGAAGAGCACAGTTGGGTGTAACGCTCTACCAACAAAATGAACATGTCAACGTCCAACCCTTTTTTTGTTGTTGTTGGCTATTATTCCCTACTTGTTATATAACCGGGTGTGCTTTACTTGTTATTGTTTTGTCATTGTATAGTTTTCGCCTCACATCAGGAGCTCGGAAATGATTGCTCAATAATTATCATTGTTGGTGTTTGTGGATTTCAGTGCTATTTTGTCGTTCCAACATGAAATTAGCTTGCGACAAATTTAACGTTCACTGCACTGTAACCACTCCTGCCTTGGCAACCGAAAGGCTTCTGGCCGTATTGAATAAATAAAAAAAAGCAAAGATAAAGTGGGATGTGAACAGTTCTTCGAGTGAAACATCAGGGGCCTTCGGCCGTCATTATTATTTTTTTAAAAAACCACGATGGCCATAACGATGCATTTTAACAATGACTGAACAGGTTCGGTTCAATAAAAATGCACAGAATGTTTGCCTGGGCCCCTTCGATTATTATACCTGCGCACGCCTGTTGTATCAGTAACCAAAAAAAGACTTGAAAGTTGTTTAAGAGCGTCATGTGACCACTCCTCGATTGTGCCAAATGTGGGCTTTCTTGATTGTGTTTAAATTGTATATGCACTTGTTGTGGCAAACACCGACACATTGTCTCCGCTGTAGATGTTTTTTCACAGTGCTCACGCAACTAACGCATCATCAGAGACAAGAAGTGGTACATTTAGGCGGAGTCGGGGTTGCCACAAATACCAAACAATTTCGATGATCCGATAAAACGCTCGATCACCTTCAAGGTAACGACGTCTGCAGTTCCATCGGCGTCTCTGAACGCGTCCCGAAGATGGTTGAAATAGTGCTCGCGGTGCGCCTCTGTGCTACGCTCGTGGTACTTGCGCACGACGAAGTTGAAGCCCGAGTCGGTGAGCACGTACGTCGTGGTTGCATTCCGGTGCGACTCGGGGTCCACCCGAAACACGGCGCTCCACCCGAGCGCGTAGTCGCAGTGGAACATCATGCGCAGCAGGTCCCTCCGTCCTGCCGGCGGCGGTCGGTGAGGCCACATCACGCCGGCGGCGCGAAGTGCAGACTTCACGGCGTCGAGCTCGCAAGGCGACGTCGTCAGCAAGGCGGTGCACGTCCTGCGAAGACAACTTGTGTGCATTTATGGTGCTTGTACACTGTCTGTACGAGTCAGAAATAAATAGCCTAGGTAACAACGATTAATATTATTATTATTATTATTATTATTATTATTATTATTATTATTATTATTATTATTATTATTATTATTATTATTATTATTATTATTATTATTATTATTATTATTATTATTATTATTATTATTATTATTATTATTATTATTATTATTATTATTATTATTATTATTATTATTATTATTATTATTATTATTATTATTATTATTATTATTATTATTTCAACCGCAGCAACGACGTAACTTGTACCCTTCGTTTAAATTGTTGTTCTGCTTGAAGGCAGCGGCAAGGAATAGAAATTGCTTCGATCAAAAAGAAACAATGCGAGCAAAAAGTACTGAGGCAGGGCGTGGAGTTGTCAAAGATGTGGACCACCGAATACGCAGTCGGTCTAGAACGAAACATACGAATGTCTGCTACTCTTCGATTTTCTTCCAATTTAATTCTTTTTCAACAGCTGTTTCTTAGCAGACTATTTCATGTCAGACGTCAGTGGAATAGCCAGGAGGCGGCCACCTTGGCTACCAGTTCGCTACCGGTATCGCCCAAGTGAATTGGTTTGCGGCCGAATGTGGCCAAATTAAGGACAGTTTTATGCCATTGAAAATGCACATGTTTGCCGGGACGAAAGAACACATCCGATTTCTCCGACTTTTTAAATTAAGAAGCGTCGAACTAACAAGGTATTACTGTAATGACAAAATGTGATCCTGCGCAAGAAAAACAGAAAATGCAAGAACTGCTAAAAAATAAACAAAACAAAAGAAAAAAATTCTGATAACGAAAGGGCTGTCATCTAGCAGGCAGCGGCTGAAATTGCTTGTCCTTGCAACACCTGTATTACCACGCCTTCTGTTCATCACATAGGAAACCAGATTGCTTCTTTATTGCAGCACTGTCTGCTATATTGCTGTTCACCTTCGTTGTATTTTTTTTACAGTGGATATGTTAAAGGGCTTCTCACCAGACCCGATAACAAATTGTAGTTATCCGCTGGCAGTTGTTCTGCAGTCGAACCAGAAATTTTTGCATTGGTTCATTACAAGCTGAGAAACCCAGCATTTTGAAGCGGTGCTAAGTCATTATATTTCAGTCTACTGCCTGCTTCTCCGGGATAGCTGTCTCGGTGCGTGCTCTATCGGCATTAGACGCCGTATAATACATGAGCATATTGAGTGCTCGAACTCGCAAGACCGGTAATTTCATTTCCAGGGCTCGCTTCTGCTCGATGCGCTAACCGCGGGGAGACGAATGCATGTGAAACGCAGGCACCTTAACCCCCACCCCCCACATCTTGTTGCAATTCACGTGGCAAAAATAAAAAAAAAACGCACGCATTTTTTGTGCCTAGTTATTTATCTTAAGTTTTGTTCATCTATTCAAACAAAAAATTACACAAACTAGACATGTGTGAAATAAGTTTCGCCCTGCCAGGTGCTACTTTCGGCGACGTCAAAGCACAGTCGTTTAAGTCGAGAACTGACGTCAAAGCACTACAGGTCTGCGCAGGGCAATTCCTACGTCTACGTGATACCCTCATTATCTGGGCGCGCGCCCGCGCAAGGAACGCCAAGCAGCGCTTATCTTGAAGCTTGACCCGTTTCTCCGACGCGTAGGGTTGCAAATTATGGCAGTCGTGGTCGTCAACGCCCCATGTAAGCATTGCACACGTCAGCTGAAAATTGTCAAACCTGGTGAGGGGCGCCCTTCAAGCTCTCTGTGGCGCCGCGTGGGGGCGAACAAAAGCAGTGCTTGGCTATGAAACCTCGCCTTGACGCTTAGGCTAATCATGCCAAGGTATGCTTAGATCAAGCTAATTAAGCCATGGCATGCTAAAATCATTGGTTATCAATCTCGTATGCCAAATACGACATTGCTAATAAAGACAATACTCATTAAGCTCAAGCTAAGGCCAGTTTATATAAGACCTTCCTAATACTACGAGAGTTGAGATATTGTTAACAATGGCATCTCATAATTAGGGTCGCGTTAATTAAGACCACGCAAACTACTGCATTGCTAATTGCGACCTTGGGGTATTGCGTTTATGCCTACCTGTCTCGTTCACACGGTCTTGGCATGCAACCACTCTTTTTATAGACTTTTATATCAACGCCCTAGATTGTCTCACCATTTTTCAGAATGCTCCAAACCCCCAGGGTGCGCAACTGGCCAGAAAGCATGCACCTCAGTGGGAGTGCGAAAAAGGGTGCTATGCGGAGCGTGCGCTGACGGCTGGCGAGAAAAATCTTACTCTTTCATTTTGATGAGGGCCGATATTGCCGGGCGAAAGCAATGCCTCTGAGATTGCTTCAAGAGATCTTTAAAAAGGTAAATAAATGAGGAAACGTGCGCTGAGGAGAGAATCACTACTTTCGAGTATCGAGACGTATAGTATACCAGTAGACCATGACTGCTCTCTGGAGGCGGTTCTGCCCCACAGGCGGCACGTCAATGGTGTGCACGATGCGCGCAATCTTCTCGATGGCCGCACCGAAGGCTTCCTCCTGAACGCCGAGCACTTGGCGCTGCCTCCAGCCGTCGCACACGAACCGTGTGAAGCTGTGGCACGGGTCCACCGACCAGTTGAGCGAAGCCATGAGCCGCGAAGAGTACTCGCGACACGCGTGGGTCGTGCACGTGTCTGGTTTGCTCGTGCCACTGTCATCCAGGAGCGACAACAAGAAAGAGACGAGCATGGCCAGGCACACGATCATGCACAGCACGGCGACCACGATGTTGAAGATCGCCACTGATGGATGTTGCTGATATGGGAAGCAATGAAAACGACCAAGAACCTTCACAAGCTGCCAGTAATGAAAAAAGTCGGTATGTCACGAAAAAGCTGCTTGTAGGGAAGCATGTAAGCTTGATATCCTGTAATGCCATTTTTAGATGCGAAGCAGCTCTTTGACTAGCCTGTGTAATGCCGTTCCGTGAATCTGCACAACCGCCTCACCGCAGGTGTTGGAGCGGTGCAAAGTAGGTGAAGTCGCAGCTGCGCGTTGACGTCACTCCCTCACCTGCAACAGCTGCCGGCTCCTCCCCCTACTCGCAATACACTTCTTTCTCGCTTTACCACCACCGCTACGCTCAACCGCACGTCCGAGTGGACACACTAGACAGATTTAGTTGCACGTCCGCCGTGCCGTACGGACGTAGCCTGCCGTTGCAAATAGCTAGCAGGCTGAGTCGTACGGCTGCAGCGGACGCGTGACTAAATCTGTCGACTCTTACGGCTCGTTCATCTGCGATGAAACTTATACGAAACCCGACTTGCCTCCCGTGTCTTAACGTTTCAAACAAACGTTCACTCGAGTGAACGCTACACAGAGTTTCGCTTTGAACCGTTCTTCCGGCATCCGCGTCGACGCCCGTTTCAATCGGATCAACACCGTGCGCACCGCTGCTGCTTCGCATCCCATCCCATAATGTTTTAAACCCCATCTCACCTCTGAACACACGGTGCTTTAAATTTAAGGGCCACTCACCAGGCTCCCAAAATACAAAAAAAGAGCGCAATATCGTCTCCTGATATATCTTGTCTTTGCGAAGTTCTGTGACGCTGACAGTAGTTTCCGTGACGTCTACAGCGTACATGCTGTCGATTGTTTTATATACGCGAAATATCACATATGATTTGTCTCCTGCACTGCTTTGCCAAGCAGCCACCCATACGTTTTTTTTTCTTGTCTCGCATGAATACCGTACACAATCAACCGATCAAACTTCATTTTGTGTGTTCACAACTGCGCAAGCGACGATAACAGCGTGTAGCCGAGTAGCGCGAAATCCTGATAGCCTCTAGCGCTTATAGTGCTGATATTGTTCACGTGCATTTAAGAACTAAGGGGCGAGGAGGATGCAGCGTGTGTATGCAGGAGAGGAGAAAATAACCTCTCCTCTTTAAAACGGGGTGGTGAGTGGCCTTTTAAGCATCATGTCGCCTTAGCGTGTCACTGTGCCTACTAATCAACTGTCGGGCTCTAGGAGGTTATAATCAATATTTTTATGTTTGTGTTACGGTGTAACATGTTTTTTTTTGTCCTAGAGTGTCACAGACCCCACAAGTAAATTTCGGTGAATAGAAGGTTAGCTTAAAATACGAACCTAGATAATTAACTACAATTAGAGCCCGCTCACTCACTCATCACGCTAACATGCGACAGAATGTCTACAGTTGTTATTTGATCATTATCGGTGCGATAAAGGAGGACACACTACTGGGGTTGATGGCTGCTTATATGGAGACAAACGTACACTCAACGCCAAGACAGCACATGCAAACGCACCACGATGGTCGAGAAGATGCTGCCCTGCGATGACTGACGGGATGACGGCGTATGCAAGGCTGCCGCCGCTGCTATGACTGCAGGTGGCAAATGTATACCGCGGCCACCCTCCACGCCAGAGGAAGTAGCTGCAAATGAGGACGGGTGTGTCATGCATAGCATTAGGAGCACTCGCAGTACCAGCTCAGTACCTTAGGGAATGAATATGACAAACATCCCTCTGCTGCTCATAGCCACGAGTAACACCATTTGGGTTTCTTCTAAATGAAGCCTATTAGACGCGAAAAACCCGTCTTTCTCTAGGAACGAATCTTAAGAGGTTTTAGACACGGGTTCGATCCCCAGATCAGGACGAGTTTTTCGGCAGGGTAGCTTCCAGAGATTTCGTCGCAGCCTCGATCGTACCACAAACGGGTAGTTGTCACGTTCCAGTCCTTAAAGCTTCCGCCACATAGCATGCAGGGTTCCACAAAACCTACATGCATAACTCTACCTGCACTGCTGTACCGCGTGTGCGACTCGCTGTAGCCGGCTCGGCCCGATGATTCTGGCAAAGTCGCCGTAGACCGAGGACGTTGATGATGCTGCCCGTAAGAAGCCTTCCTTCGGACACCGAGCGGATTCGATTCACCGGACTCTAGCCTGGAACCAGAGTGCTGGGGATCAAGAGGTGGTCGGTGCGCGCTGGTTGCGAGTGAATGTGCGTGACCATCGGACGCTCTCTGAGCGCGGAGCTTTCGAGGCTGATCGGAGTCTTTCCGATCAACCCGGACTGGTTGGACTGTCTGTGCGACCAAAAGTCGGCTGCCGTCGGTGGGCGGCTTTCTGCCTGGTGCGGTGTAGTCTGTCGTATGAAATAAAGATTTGTTTCAATGTTTTTTCATGCATTCATGCTTTTTCATAAAATATTCAGTAAGGCTAAATTCATTACGACTGCGTGCTATCACTCAGCTGATCTACATCACTACAAGGTATACTTCACTAGCTGTCGCATTAACACTTTCTATTAAACAAAATTTCTATTTGATGCCTAATCAAAAGCACAAATTGCCCATCAGTGGCGTCAGCATCAACACGATGCAAAAGATCACAATCTCTTGCTAACAACCCCATATAAAATCATCATGACGTTACTTAACAAGACGCACGACGATGACATCATCACATCACAGCTTGGTCAAAGGAGGGCCGATCACCGAGGCAGTGCAAAACTAGGCAGAAGACTTGCAACGCCAATGCCTCCGATCGTAGAGGCAGTGAAGAGGCACGTTAGGCGCAGAAAGTTTTATAGGGAGGCGAAGAAGGATCAATACAATAGACTGAGGAGAAAACAAGATGAATTTCGCTTTCGAGCAGTCTAAGGCGAACGCAGGGGGACCCCGTGAGTTTTCAAGACGATAGTATTTTTTGTAATACTACAACGCAGAAATTTCGGTCTGTCTGTCTATGTGTCTTCTGTGTGCCAATCACTCGAAGTCATTCATTCAGACGGCCAAAGTTTAACCACTTCCTCAACGCCCAGCCACCTTGTTCTGGCGACTGCGTTCATACTTGTGAACATTGTTAATCAAAAAAGCAAATATTACGCATCTATGAGGCGCAACATCAATGAGTAATCATTAGGTGGTGTGTTTCTTTACTAAAAAATACATATATACGTGATTTTAAAGACCCAGTGCCTCTTACACTGCGCTCACAATGAGACGATATGCGCGAAAAAGCGGGCGTTTTCCACGCTTCGATGAGACGATTAGAGGCTGCCACCTACCAGTGGCTCTGCGTTCTACACAAGCGTCTGTTTTTCAACGTAATTGCTAGATGGCGTCCATCAGCGAAGCCCGCATATGATAAGCAGCGGGTGAACTGACAGATGATGTTGAAAGAAAATGGGAAACCTTTCTAAGCTGTAGAAGGGATGCATCCCTTCTGATCAATGAAAAGACTAGAAGAAAGGGAGCTCAGAAGTACATAAAAAAGATAGAAAGGCAGCTGCGAAATTTTTGGACCATCTAAACTCTCTAAGAAATGAGACGAGCCTAGAGCAGAGGTTTATAACTACAGCCCAAGGTGCTAGGCTAGAAGGGGGAAGCTAATGAACATATAAGAACAAGGGTGACAGAAAAACTTCAACAAAGAAGTGCTTTATGCACCACAATAGACAAGGATGAATCAAGTGGTGCAATGGCTCCATTTTCACAACGATAGTGGGAAAGGGCCGAGAAAAGGGTTCCTAGTAGTACATCAACAGGCCCAGATGCCATTCCAATTATGCTGATAAAAACATTAGGTCCGAAGTCTAAGCAGGCTTTGAGAGAGGCAGTGAGCAAACTAATAATCGATGGTGAAGTTCCCGATGGATGGAAACTTAGCAGGATGAGCATGATCTATAAAGGAAGACGGACAAAACTGACATAAACGTCTAACGTCCTATAACAGTGACATCAGTGGTCTACAGGCTGGCGATGCAGATTATAAAAGAAAGACTGCAGGCATGGATAGAGGATGAGGGGGTGCTGGGAGAAATGCAGAATGGGTTTCGGAAACACAGTAGGTTGGAAGACAATCTGTTCTCACTGACGCAATGCATCGCAATAGCAGAAAAGAAGCACTGGCCCCTGTGGCTAGCATTTTTGGATATCAAGGGAGCGTACGATAGCGTGGTTCAAGAGGAATTGTGGGGAATACTGGACACACTGGGCGTGGAAGATGTAGTCATTAATCTTTTAAAGGATATCTATAAAGGTAACAAGGTAGTTATAAAGTGGGACAAACAGGTATCCAAGCCTGCAGAGGTCAATCGGGGGCTTAGGCAGAGGTGTCCCCTGTCACTCTTATTATTCATGATGAACCTACAAGGATTAGAGGCCAAATTAGAGGGAAGTGGACTGGGCTTCAACCTCTCTTTGGTCAAACAAGGAAAACCATTTGATCAGGCACTACCAGCATTAATGTACGCAGATGATATAGTGCTAATGGCTGACAACAAGGAAGATTTGCAGAGATTGATGGACATCTGCGGTAATGAGGGAGATAGGTTAGATTTTAGATTCAGTAAGGAAAAATCAGCAGTCATGATTTTCAATGACAACGAAGGTAGTGAGCTTAGAATACAGGAGGTCACGCTAGAGATAACAGATAAATACAAATATCTGGGCGTATGGATAAGCAATGGGACAGCGTACCTAAGGTAACACGAAATATACATGAAGACTAAAGGTAACAGGAATTCAGCAGTGATGAAAAATAGGGCACCGTGGAATTCAATAGGTATGATGTTGTGAGAGGAATATGGGAAGGGGTCATGGTTCCTGGGCTGACGTTCGGCAATGCGGTCTTATGCATGAGATCAGAAGTTCAAGCAAGATCAGAAATTAAGCAACGTGGAATAGGTAGGCTTGCTTTAGGAGCTCACGGGAATACACCAAATCAGGGAGTACAAGGTGATATGGGATCGACATCATTTGAGGGCAGGGAAGCTAGCAGCAAGATAAAAATTGAGAAGTGATTGAGAGAAATAAGGGAGGAGCGTTGGGCTATGAAGGTTTTCAGCTACTTGTACATGAAGAATGTCGATAGAAAATGGAGGAAGCGAATCAGAAAATTGACTGGTAAATACTTAGAAAACAGCAGGTGGCCAAACCAAAAAGAACTATCGGTTAAGAAGAAAGTGAAGGAAACGGAGACTGACATGTGAAGAATTGGCATGATTAAGAAGTCCGCACTAGAGATCTATCGAACCTTTAAGCAGGAAATTGCCAATGAAAGGATCTATGATAATACTCGGGGTAGTTCTCTACTGTTTGAGGCCAGCACGGGAGTATTGCGAACCAAGACATATCGGGCCAAATGCGAAGGGGTAGACACAGTATGCAGTGCGTGTGGAGAGGAAGAAGAAACTGCCGAACACTTGATAATGTTCTGTAAAGGGCTTCACCCTACAGTTCAGGATGATGGCGCAGAGTTTTTCAAAGCACTGGGGTTTAGGGACAGGGAGGGCAAAATAGACTTTAAGCAGGTAGACCTAACTAGAAGGAGGTTATCTGATTGGTGGCTTAAGTCAAGGCACGAGTGAAAATTAAATTCTTGACTGCAAAGTACGAATCCTCAACCTCACTATTTAAAGGGAAAAAAAGATAAATCTAATGGTTAGTTCACTAAGTATTACGGCTAGGTGGCGTTAGCCGCCGTCCGATCTAAAGGGTACAGCCACATCCATTCCATTCCATGTCATCCAATCCATCCCATCCATTCCATTCCATTGCATGCCATTCCATTCCGTCCATCCATCCCAATCCATCTCAATCCAATCCAATCCAATGCCATCCCGTCCCGTCCCATCCCATCCCATTCCATTCCATTCCATTCCATTCCATTCCATTCCATTCCATTTCATTCCATTCCATTCCATTCCATTCCATTCCATTCCATTCCATTCCATCCATCCATCCATCCATCCATCCATCCGCAGATGTGCGGCCAAGATTTTTTTTTTTTGTCCCTCGCACGTTCAAAGAGTGGAACCAACGTCACTACCACACCGTTTCTATTTCGAACCACGACTTATTTTGTTCCTTCATGAACAATTATTTACTCGATGAAAAGTGTAAATTGTACAACTTTATCTTTAAGCTCATTATTTGTCATTCTACCTGTATTTGAATTCAGTTGCATCAGGCTAACATCATATCCTTATACGTAGAGTGACATATTTTCTGCTGCTGATTTTTGTTCACTTTTGTTTACTTGATCTTCTCCACTCTCATTCGTAAAGGTTTGCGGGATAGAGGACAAAACATATGAAATGAAGGTTCTCGTTACGTTGGTGGCTCGTTCCAGGTACTATTTGCTATGGAATGAGATTTGTCACGTGTGCTCAGATATGGGTGCTCTGATATAGGTGCACGTTATAAAGAACCCCTGGTGGTCAAAATTTCCGAAGCCCTCCTCTACGGTGTCTCTCATAATCATATGGTGGTTTTTGGACGTTAAAGCCCCCCTAACATCAAGGAATATTTCATAAGCATAGCAGTCGGTGATTACGATGACGAAGCTTGTCGAAAGCAGAATATTTTATTTACTTTTTTTACAGTTGTTCACAGAAACAATCTGTGCTAAAATGATGTGTGCAAGCGCTATGAAATTTATGAGATGCTTCCGAGTTTTTGACAGTGTAGTAAAACGCACCGTGGCACAACAGAAACACTACCAGGAGAAAGGCATAAAGTTGTAACGCCGAGGAGCTTTAGTTTTTATTGATACACCGTGCTTTTAGTTGGTGGTGTTGCATATAGTTTATATGGTGCAACATTTTTAATACCAAACCTTGCTCCTACCCTCTCGAGTTTGCAAACGTGAAGATACGAATGAATACATACAATAGAATAATTACACAAATAAATAGTGAGCTCTCCCCCATCTTACCCTATTGCATGCATTACGGTCTGCGATGTGTGTAACTGACGCAGAAAGTTGCGGTACCTGTCGCATGGTGCTGTTCTTGGCTTGACTTTCGGCGCGGTGTGCTGCCTGGCTTGACGACAGCCGCCATGACAGGCAAAGAAAACTCGGGAAACGCGACCAAAGCTTTGGGCGAGCAGCAACGTTGGCGCAGTCCGCGACCACAGCTGACCTCTGCGGCAGTTAGGCGCTGCCAGGCTGGGCCTGCGGAGTGTTCAGATGTCGAACACAGGATCATAGTATACAGGAAGAGGTCTTAAAGCTGACAGAGACAATATCGTCTACATCCGTAAATTACCAACCTTGCGACTACCTCGAACGTTTCGCTGTGCTCAGTCGGATCCCAGCTGTCTCGATCACGCTGTGAGAGGACGGCGAGCTTGGCGAGCTAACAAGAACGCCTGGATTCAGCTGCGCGCGTTTGACGTGTCCTGTTGCGGGGACGGCGAGCCTTGTAGCGACTTCGGCCACGTCCTCCCTCGTTGCGCGAGGCTCTTCTTCTTCCTGTAGCTCGTGGCCCGCGCATTCGTAAGTCGGTTTGATGATGCTGAATGCTAGTTTCCCCTTAACCAAGTACATGATGTTAATGATCATCATCGCGGTGATTGTATCCTCTTCCTGTCCACCACCGCGAACTCTTTGGCAGTTATGACGCCAAAATGCTGTTCTGAGGGTCGCTGGATCGAATACTGGTCGTGGCGGCCGCATTTCTACGCAAGCGAATTGCTAGAGGCCCATCCACTTAACCTAACTATCGTGCAAATCAAGAACCCAAGGTGCTCAATGTTTCCAGCGTATGCGATGGCGTTCTTCACAATCAAGTCGTGATTTCCGGACGTAGAAGCCCAACAAAAATATGTCTTTTTCTGGGTGTCATTCGAACCCAAAAGTATGGACGGCAGGACGTTTAAGGTAAGGACCTATGAAGCTTCAGGAAGCTGCAAATTTAGATTAGCCAACTGAAACAAGCAAATCTGGGAGATACAGCAGGCAAAGGAAGGTGCCGGAAGACACCAACTGTCTTTCAGCTCGTAGGTGGAAGTCCGGCCCAGCAATTCGCCGCAAATAATCAAGTTTTCCTTTTTATTTGAAAATCGCACATGGCGAACCTCCTATCTATTCATTACAAATCTCGTTTTCTCTTGCTTGCTTGCACATCTTTTCTGGCTCTTACCCACTAAGGTGGATTTTCTTTCATGCCGGCGTATTTAAACACGAAAAAAAAAGAAGTGATCAATTTGAAATTATAAGTTGAGAAGAAAGTTAAAAAAATAATGTGCTCAATTGAAAGTAAAGTACATGTTTAAAGCAAAATGATGTAAAAAAGCTGCCCGGAAACATTGAGGACAAATGGTCAATTAATGCATAAGCAATACACTATCAGATTTTTGGTATTTTAAGCAGATAATGCCATACTGAACCCATGTGAGATTCAATGTAGACTGCAATGATTGATATGATGTGCATGTGTCAGTTCCACCCGGCACAGACGGTGACATGCGGCTTTAATGGCCATAGATGCACATGCATTTAGTGACATCACATTTACATCCAATTTGTATCTACAAGGTCAGAGCTATTATCTCGGCCATATTCATGACACCTCCCAGATGATGCTCCATATTTTTGCGTCATCAGTAGAAAGCTTTTATAGTGATTGATTATTTATCACTACGTTCATCATTAATTTTATTTGCGGACTCCTCTCTACATCATTGCTCCAGTATGTTGCCATTATGTGGCCTTTTTTTTTTTTCTTTCAGGTGACTGCGCCAGCACTCGATACCTCGTCTTCGTCTTGCCACGCTGCGGGTTGTCGAGAGGCTCCAGCTGCTTGAATTACTCGTGACGCACCAGATTTCTCGGGCATCGTTTCCCGGCGAAGCCCGCATCGCCCGATGACCACACATTAACCGAAATTGGCGACGACGACACGAGGATGTGTTTGAGACCATGCAGTTTGCTTTGCGCCATTCAAGTAGCATATAGCAGTTCTGAAGCCGTAATTATGGCATACCATTCGATCTGACAAGTTCTGACAAGGGCTGCTACTAGCAATATTTCCGTACACATTTTAGGGTGCTTGTCATGTAACGATCATAGGCTCGCGTACCTTCATGGGAAGCGCCTATTTTAAGTGCAATCACGGATCGTTTGCGCATGACGTTGCTTAAGTAATCATTGGCGTTGTGCCTTATACGTCACCACCTGGCTCCTAGATGGTGCCGTCGCCACTTACGAGCGTATAGGAGCAGCTGCTGTTGGCGGAACATTCCGGGCGCAGAATTTACGGACGGGTGAGGCAACCGTACCTACAACACTTACGGATGAACGGTATTCTCCCGAATAAACACTTTTGGGGGGTGAAGCCCCCTTTTCAGTTTATATCGTGTCGCGAAGTAAGTATCTGCGTTTGATCAGAGAATTACTAGGAAAAGTGACCGAGCTTACAAACGAAATGACGGGCTTGAAATCTGCGTCTTATAGTCGTACAGTAAATAAACTGCGTTACATGTAGAGACGCTAAGCAGTCTCGGCAACCGCATAGCGCGAGATAGGACAATTCGCCCCTTTATAAGGCAAGAGTCAAGGAGGCGTACGCTAATTCAAAATATAAACACTTGAAGCCAGCATACCATGAAAGCAACAATGAACGACCGATCCACTAATATATATGTTCTGTAGAAACGCATACAGAGATGCAAAAAGGGTAAGATGTGGGCACGTAGCACACAAACATTTGGATAGCCCGTTCAGCTCGCGCGAAACCTGAAGATCAAGATAACGCGGATCCGTTGGACACATATTGAAATGTTATCACATCGTTGCGAAAATACCCCGAGCACTCGCACACAGATCACCTGTGTCCCCCCCACGAAAAAAAGTGCCGTCCAAAATAGCCAGAAATATGGTGTTTCTCCGCACGCATCTTTCCCGTCACAACCACCACAGCTCCTGAGAATGTTCAGATCGCCCCTATAAAGTCGCATGCGTTCTGTTTATTACGCATTTGTCAGGCATGCGTCCCCAAACAAGAGGCTCCCATCAGAAAAGCCTGCACTGCTGGTGCGGGTTCATGGGCGTCCCTAGTGCACAGTTGAAGGCCTCCGAGAACTCCGGCACGTTCTTCAGCACCGCGTCGCACATGGAGTCGTGGACGACGTAGTAGCTTCCGATGCACTTGGCGTAACAAATGGCGATGAAAAGCAGCTGATCGCTGGTCAGGCGCTCTAGGTTGACGAGGCGCCGGTCATCGCTCGCGTTGCGGTACGCGTCCACTACGGCGCCCAGGGAGACCACTTCGGCGAACAGCGATTGAGCGTCCTTAAGCTGGGTGGAGAGCGATGCGTTCGAGACGCAGGACAGGAACGCGCTGAACGAGGCACCGCCGGCATCTGCGCTGAGGTACGTGCTGCGAAACCTCTGGCCCAAGGCGAAAGCCACCTGGGACGCGATGCACAAGAGCGTCATGCACCGACGAATTATATATAGCTCGCTTACACACCCAAACACAGATTGCACTGAGCCACCTAACGCTGGCGTAATGAATGACGCAATATATACCATCTTCCCAACACTTTCGTAGACACACTCTATCGATGTTCAGCGTGATCTATTAACTATCACTAATTTATTGTCTGTAATGTAAGGCATCCGTATTAACTCTCACTAACTTCAGAGAAACTTCGCTTGAGCAAACGAAAAAGTTCGACGAATTGAAATAAATATGCTGCAGCTGGTTATGAGGACCAAAAGTAAACGTTATTAGCTGTAACTGAATTTGAACCATTTCATTTGAAATACTGCCTATTTGAATAAAATTCTGGTTATTCAAAATGTTACAAAAAATGCAATATTTCACCACACTTGTGCACGTATAGTACTCAACTGGTTGAGCAACTGCCACCAAGCTCACACAAACCTCGAGTTTATGAGTCTGCTGCGCAGCGAAGTAGTTCACTTTTTTTGTTTTTTAAAGTAGATCAGTACTCTTTAAGATACTTTTTGTGCTTCCTCTACAATTAGGGTTACTTATTCATCCTCCTTCTTTACAATTAGTGGGTTACTTATTCCTCCTCCTTCTTTAGGTCTATAGGGCTCCCACTACAATCTGTTCTGCGAAGAGAGTGGTGCTTGTCTCAACGCAAGATTCGCATATGACTCCTACAAACGCACAACGCTGTCTGTACCCAGTCTTACCGACGAATTTTAAACGGTACATCATGGCGACGGCAACGCTTTACATAGTACGTCCTGGTCATTGTAATCACACTGATGATGGACGGTTCAATGGCCAAAAAGCGCCAGAGGTGGCCCAAGAAAAACAAATTGGGAGACTCTTGAGCTTTGCCTTTAGAAGTTGAAAGCGAAAGTAATATTTTGTTCCTAGTGCGTACTTCAAACACTTCGTGTATGAAATCTTTTCGAACTAGCTATGCACTCACTACATGGCCTTAGGAAGTGCAGTAACCTGTATGCCATTCGTAATGGGTGACTGGCTTTAAACAATGAAGTCATTATGATAAACGCACGTTCTGAAGTAAACTAGCAAATCGGACTAGTTGGAACATACTCATCACAATCAGCGCACAAAAAAAAACGCAAAAGCCAAATCCCACATACCACTAGTGAGAATCGATGATATGCGAAGCACGAAGGAAGGAAGTTGATATGTCACTTTAAAATCAGCACAACGTTACGAGGCGGATGGACGTACAACACAGCAAACACAAGTAGAACTTTTATGTGCTATCAAGTGTCTAGATAAGATGCAAATATGTTGTTTATACTCGCGTAACGACGGCTCCACTAACGTTTGGGATACCATCACCAACATTGGTAGGCATGTAAATTATGCCGTGCATGACTTCCATGTCATGATTATTATCTTTGCGCCTGGAAATTTTGTTCGTCCTCCATTCACGTTACGTAATACCAAATTTGGTATGTGAAGCTAGCGAAACGGTCGCAACCGCACTACGAGCGTAGCAGGTAGTCATGTTTGGACGTGCATTTACCATCGTCGTCCGTCCGCATCACGTAATACCCAGTTTTCTATATGTGAAGCTAGCGAAACGACCTTGAGCGGATCATGAGTGGCATGTAGTCATGTTATTACATGACACGCGTGTCATGATTATCATGTTCGTACCAGTCATATACCATTGTCATCCATACCAAATTTGTATTTGTGAAGCTAGCGAAACGGCCTCGAGTGCGCTATGAGCGTAGCATGAAGTAATGCTTTACGTAACGCACATATCATGATTATCATGTTCGGACGTGTTATTTACCTTCCTCGTTCATTCACGTTACGTAATACGAACTTTGGTATATGTGAAGCTAGCGAAACGGCCGTGAGCGCATCATGAGCGTGGCAAGTACTCATATTCTTACATGACACGCATGTCAAGATTTCTACGTTAGGACCTGTCACTTATCTTCGCCATGCACTCATGCCATACCATGCCAGTTTTTCAATATGTCATGTGAACGAAACCAGTGCAAGAGCAGCAAGACCATGACGTGTAAATCATGACATTCATGACATACGCGCCATGAATTTCATGTTACGACTAGTCATTTATGCTCACCATACAGTAATGTTATGCCATACAAAATTTGGTATATGTCCTATTATCGCAACGGCCCGGAGAGCTAAAAATCGGAGCCGGCTATGTAGATAGAAAGATACGGGCAACGTCATCGAAGTTTGCTAAGAAATGCTTCACATGCACTTAAAACTTCAGAAAGTGCACGACACAAGCACTGCCTAACTGTTTTAGACAGCTCTTGTGTCGCGCACTTTTTTAGTTTTTTTTTTTAGTTTTTTGTGCGCTGATCGTGATGATCCCCGCGCTGATCGTGATAAACCCCACGTTCTTACGCCCGATGAATGCTTGTACCGCATTATTGGAGCATTACTTCATGTTTTATTGTGAAACATGTATACAGGACGCTTGTGCTTGTAAAGCATGAAAGTTACTTTCGCTGAATTTCCAATCAGAAAAGCTATTGTCACTGTGCTCACAAGCAGATACTCTACAGTGTGGTATAACACCCTCATGCCAGATACCCCCGAACAGCCCCGAATTTCATTTTTTATCTAACTTGCATCTTTCTCGATTTTCCAGTCACGCTAAAATGTTTTTTTCGCTCACAACAAATGAAGCCGACGCCGGAAATTCTATGAAACGAGCTCTTTGGCGTTATAGCGTCAAAGTGAGGGGAGAGGTAATGGGTACGTCAGACACGTGAGCTACAATTTTCAACCTATACGCCAAGCATTACCAACCTGAGTTCCAAAGCCCCCATAGTTGATGGCGTTCATGGCGTTCATGTCGTAGTAAGGAAACGAGAAGACGTACGGCAGTAAGATGTAGCCCCTTCTATACTCGAGGTCGGAAGAGAACGCCAACGTCTCGATGGCCGTTATGGCAATCTTGATGTCGAAGCCGCGGAAGAAGCTACGCGATAACCAAGCGTTGCGCCAGTTCTGCAGGAACGAGTCACCCATCTCTCCAACGATGACGTCGTCGAAGTCAACCTCGGGCTTCGGAGCAAAGATGCTGAAAGACAGCGAGGTGGAATTCCACGACCTGCAAAGCGTTAATACATTCAGACTCGGAAGTCACCTATGGAAAGAGAGAGCTACAACTGTCTGAAGTAAGAGGTTTCTTAATGAAATGATACGCGTCGACAAACATACTCGGACATAGACAGGGTTGTATAAGTACTACAACACACAGCTCCGGTAACCAAGCCAAACAGTAGACCCATAACGAATGTAAAACAAGACTCAATGTAGCGATGACACTCGTGAAGCTGTTTCATTATCATGAAAAGCGCTGTGATACAGCATCGGAAGGTGGAAGGATACGGAAGGCGCTATCACAAAGTCAGAATATTTACATGTCAGTGGTTTCAACTTTTATTTATAGAATGCATTTTAAAAACGAGAAGAGTTCTTTAACGCACATTAAAATAAATTTCCAAACTGCTGTTCGAGCCGATACAGAGGCTCATCAATAATAGACAAAATATTTGTCACACGCTGCAGCAAGCAATGTGTCCTGCATGTTGTGACGAGTAATATACTGCGGCCAAAAAAGAAACAGGCCAAGATTTTTCCAGAGACCCAATAATGTTGAGAATTTTCCATGCAGGCCGCACGGATATAGTTAGCACTAGCACTGCACAGTGCAGTTGTATCCCAAATAAAAAAAAAGTATAGAAGTGCTCACTGAAAGCCTCTTCTACCTCCTGAGTCTCGTACTAAAACGTCTAGGCGTGCGAAGATTACAAGACCAGATTCAACGACATGACGACGCACTACCAGTTTCACATATACGCCTATATGTGAAACTATAGCAAACTCTCCTGAAATTATTATGTATGCCGATGACACTAATGTTTTTTTTAAATCCACAGACTTAACTGATTTGGAAACTAAGGCCAACGAGTACCTTGCGTTGCTCTCGACTTGGCTAGGCCAAAATAGACTGCAGCTTAATATAGCAAAGACAAACTATGTCATATTTCGTGCTCTGAACAAACAACTTAGCCGGGAAATAGTTCTAACTTTCCAAGGGCATGAGTTAACCAGGGTTAAAGAGCAAAAGTTTCTTGGTGTCTGGTTCCAAGAGCATCTTTCGTGGAACGTTCATGTTAATAATTTAGTTGTTGAACTCTCCCGAGCTGTTGGCTGCTTGTATAAAATTGCACCCTTGATACCTATCTGGTTGAAGCAAAACCTATATAATTCATTGTTCTACTCTAGACTATGCTACGGAATACTGGTCTGGGGTACCACTACAAAAACCAACTACAATAGGATTATTCGTCTACAAAAAATGATATTGCGCATTTATGAAAGTTATCAGGGGCCATGGTACCAATTAAGCACGTCACCGTTATTTTTAAAATATCAAATGCTTCAAGCAAACAAAGTTTATGACTTCAAACTACTGCAGTATATACATTCCAATGCACTATATCTAGACGACAGCAGCAGTAATGAAGTCCCATACGACATGAGACTGAAGAGAAGACGAACATTAAAAACCAGGACTAACTATGGTACACAAACAACCAGCCACCAAGTACTAATGATCCTGAATAAGCTAGAAGGTCATATTGAATTCCTCACGACTAGAAATGCATTTAAAAATAAGGTGAAGGAACTGTTACTTGCACAGGCTTTGAGAGAATGACTATTGCAACACATGTGTGTGTGGGTATATGTGTGTGTATGTGTGTATATATGTGTATGTGTATATATGTGTATGTATATGTGTGTATATATATGTGTGTATATGTGTGTATATATGTGTGTATATATGTGTGTGTATGTGTGTGTGTATGTATATATATGTGTGTATGTATATATGTGTGTATGTGTATATATATGTGTATGTATATATTGCCACGAGGAATTGCTAAGGCGCAGTACAACGCAGACGTTGTTAAAAGAGGAACGCTGACGGCATCGCTACGACTCATGAAGCCCGCCGGAAGGCACGAGCCGGCCCAGCCTGTGCACGAGCTGCTACCGAGCAGCGGCAAAAAAAAGAGGAGAAGAAGAGGACGACGAGCGTTCGCTGCTTTCTCCCAGCTACTGTGTAGTTCTTTTGGCTTTGGGCACAAGTTCGCCCTTATTAAACCTTGTAAATAGGACGTCCCGTTTGTGAGGTTGTTATATCCGTTACATTTTCTGGTGGAGGTGCGGGGTACATGATTCCGAGCCCCACGCAAGAGCGAAGTCCAAGCACTGACCAGCCGCAACCAGTGGAGCTTACACCGGTGCACCAACGAGTCAGCCGCCGTATCCGAGGAGAGTTGCCAGAATTTGGGCCACTCCCTTCTGTATCAAGGGCATCGGTGACGGAGACAAGCGCCGCCACCACCATGACGAGCCAAGTTACGCCGGCACAACTCATCGTAAGCCAACCGGTCATTCCAAAGGTGTTTCATGGTGACCCATACGAGGACGCCGAAGACTGGTTAGAGCATTTCGAGAGAGTGGGAAATCTAAATCAGTGGAACGAGGAAGGCAAGCTGCGTAACGTCTACATTGCGTTGGAAGACTCTGCACGAGTGTGGTACGAAAACCACGAGGCATCTCTGACGTCGTGGCAAGAGTTTCGGCGGCAGCTACTGAGTACGTTCGCCAACAGTGATCGCCGGGAAAGGGCGGAAGCAGCTCTCCGCACACGGATTCAACGAACGAACGAAACTGTCGCGATGTACATCGAAGACATGTCCCGCCTTTTCAAGCGAGCTGATCCTGGCATGACGGAAGACAAGAAGGTGCGCCACCTCATGCACGGGGTAAAGCAAGAATTGTTCGCGGGACTCATCCGCAATCCGCCCCGTACTGTTGCTGAGTTTCGGTCGGAAGCAACAACCATCGAAACGACGCTTCAGCAGAGAGCCCGACAGTACAACCGCGACGTAGCCGGTGCATCCGCAGGAGTCTACTCAGCAGGCGTCGTGGATAATCTTGACACATTGCGCGAGCTCGTCCGGTCTGTTGTCAGGGAAGAATTAAGGAAACTGCAGTCACCTGATGTCACCCCCGAGCTGTCTCTTGCTGAAGTTGTCCGAGATGAAATTCGACAGGCCATGCGGGAGCCGCGGAGTGATGTGCCAGCGACACGACGGGCGGTAACGTACTCCGAGGTGCTCAGGCGACCTACTCTGCACTGTTCGCCGATCGAGACACCAAGTACTTATGTGCAGACAATGCGCAGCCCGCCTGAAATCGTAGAGGCAACACGCACTCCACCTCGTGCGAGAGAGATGATGCCACGGAAGAGCGATGTGTGGCGAGATGCCACACGTAGGCCCTTGTGTTTCCACTGTGGAGAGGCTGGCCACCTGTACCGATTCTGCCGATATCGTCAAGCTGGTCTTAGGGGATTCGCCATCAATGCACCGTGTCCGCGAAACGGCGAAAGACCTTCCGAGATTGAAGAATACCTATGCTCACGTCGGGAATTTGACCCGCCTCGTCGTCATCAACCACGCTCACCATCCCCTATGCGCTACCGCTCGTCTAGCCCACGTCCCTTCCCAAGCACGTCTAGGCAGCGTTCGCCTAGCCCAAATCCGGGAAACTGAAGAGGGCGACCTGTGGAGGCGAGGCCGCTGGCGACTTGGGATATGAAGATCCTCCACTGCGGTACGAGCCTGATAACGACGACTGTTTCCAGGTAAAGGAGTGCAGTACAGAGAAAATTACTTCAGACTTGCCGTTGGTGATTGACGGACTAGAGCTCAATGCTTTGATCGATACTGGTGCGGATTATTCTGTGATAAGTTACGAATTAGCGAAGCGACTCAAGAAAGTTCTGACCGAATGGGGTGGACCTCAAGTACGTACTGCAGGTGGTCACCTCATAACCCCTTCCGGCCGATGTACCGCAAGGGTCATGATACGGGGCTTCACTTACGTCGGTGACTTTGTCGTCCTACCTGTGTGCTCGAGGGAAGTGATACTGGGAATGGATTTCCTACAAGCTAATGGTGCGATTATCAATTTACAGAGGTCGAGCGTGTCCTTTTCGACGGAGCAAGCTTTAAAGGTAGCACGATCAGATGAACGATGTACCACTCCACTGCGCGTCGTCGACGATGATGTGACTGTACCGCCACGGAGCAGTATAATGGTTCTCGTGCATAATGATGCATTCAGCGACTACGAGGGTGTGGCGGAGAGCAACGTGGATGTTTTCTTGAAAAGAGGCGTTTGTGTGGCACGAGGGATTATCCAGCTGCGAAACGGGTGCACAGACATCCTCTTGACGAATTTCGGTAACGAATTCCAGCACATCGCAAAAGGGACGGCAATAGCGTTTCTTCATGAGTTCTGTGAAGTGACAGAAATATGCAGTCTTGAAACGACGTCACCGAATGTGAAACTTCCATCTGATGCCTGCGACACAATATACGTAAATCCTAATCTTTCAGAGATTCAACGTCAACAGCTATACGACCTCGTGCGGGAATTTGGCAGCTGTTTCTCCAACAGTTCAAAGGTACGGCGCACGAGCATTACAAAACACAGGATCATAACGGACGAGACAACCAGGCCGGTATGCCGGCACCCGTATCGTGTTTCCCCTAAGGAAAGGGAAGTCATCAAGAAGCAGGTACGAGAAATGCTTGAAGATGATGTTATCCAGCCTTCTAACAGCCCGTGGTCATCTCCCGTGGTGCTTGTCAAGAAGAAGGATAACACGCTACGGTTTTGTGTCGACTACAGGAAACTGAATGCTGTGACTAAACGGGATGTATATCCCCTTCCACGCATCGACGACACGTTAGATCGACTTCGGTGTGCCAAGTTCTTCTCATCACTAGATCTGAAAAGTGGATACTGGCAAATCGAGGTTGATGAACGTGATCGCGAAAAGACTGCTTTTGTTACCCCGGACGGACTTTACGAATTTAAGGCTCTCCCGTTTGGTCTCTGTTGTGCGCCGGCAACGTTCCAACGCATGATGGACACTGTGCTTTCCGGATTGAAGTGGCAGTGTTGCCTAGTGTACCTAGACGACGTGGTCATCTTCGCGGCTACATTTGAGGAGCACATCAAGCGCCTTCGGTCAGTGTTAGAGGCAATCCGTTCGGCAGATTTGACAATCAAGCCAGAGAAGTGCCGATTAGGTTTCGAAGAGCTTCGTTTTCTTGGGCATGTCGTCAGCGCCCAAGGTGTTCGCCCTGATCCTGATAAGACGACCGCCGTCGCAAGGTTTCCGGTGCCAACAGACAAAAAGTCAGTACGGAGATTTCTAGGTCTATGTGCGTACTATAGACGATTTGTGAGAAATTTTTCAAAGATCGCAGAACCCTTAACGAGACTTACGAAAGAAGATGTGCCTTTCCAGTGGCAAAACGAGCAACAAAGCGCCTTCAACGAATTGAGAAAGAGGTTAGAAAACCCCCCGATTCTTTCTCACTTTGATGAGACAGCCGACACGGAAATACACACAGATGCCAGTAACATCGGCCTTGGATGCGTTCTAATACAGTGGCAGAAAGGTGAAGAAAAAGTGATAGCTTATGCCAGTCGGACTCTAACAAAAGCAGAGACAAACTATTCGGCCACGGAAAAAGAATGCCTTGCCGTCATCTGGGCCATCAGTAAATTTCGGCCGTACCTATATGGTAGACCATTCAAGGCAGTCAGCGATCACCATGCGCTTTGCTGGCTGGCGAACATAAAGGAACCATCCGGACGACTAGCAAGGTGGAGCCTCAGACTGCAAGAATACGATATAACCGTGGTATACCGATCTGGCAAAAAACATACCGATGCCGACTGTTTGTCACGGGCTCCTACAGACACACCACCATCAGAAGAAGACGACTTTCCGTTCGTAGGAATTGTCGAGACCACTCAAATAGCCGAACTCCAACGTACAGACAAAGAATTACTCCCGCTTATCGAACACCTGCAAGGAATTGACGTACAAGTACCCCGTATATTTTCTCGAAGCCTCGCATCGTTCTGCCTCCGAGGAAACGTTCTCTACAAGAGAAACTTCAAGCCCAACCGCGAAAAGTTCCTGCTTGTCGTTCCAGCAACTATGCGACAAGAAATACTTCGAGCGTGTCACGATGAGCCCACATCTGGACATTTGGGTGTGACGCGAACGCTTGCAAGGATCAGTCTCCATTATTATTGGCCCAAGCTACTAGCTTCAGTGCAACACTACGTCAAAACATGCCGCGAGTGCCAAAGACGAAAAACACCAAGTTCTAAACCAGCGGGCCTTCTACAACCTATAGATCCACCGAAAGCGCCTTTCCGCCAAGTTGGAATGGACCTCCTTGGACCCTTCCCGACATCTTTACTCGGCAAGAAATGGATCGTTGTGGCCACCGATTATTTAACTAGATACGCCGAAACAGACTCTTTGGAACGAGGAACGGCAGCAGAAGTGGCCCAATTCTTCGTACACAAAATAGTCCTGCGACATGGCGCTCCAACAGTTGTAATCACCGATCGCGGAACGGCTTTCACGGCGCAACTTTTGAAGTGCCTGCTCAACATGACTCACACTGTTCATAGGAAAACCACTGCATATCATCCTCAATGCAATGGCCTGACCGAACGCCTTAACAGAACTCTAGCGGACATGATATCCATGTATGTGGATGTCGAGCACAAAAAGTGGGACGAAATTTTACCATACGTCACTTTCGCCTACAATACGGCTGTGCAAGAGACCACCAAAATCACCCCATTTGAACTAGTTTACGGTCGTGCTGTTACCACAACACTGGATGCTATGTTACCAATAGACCAAGATGACTACCCCCCCGATCTTGACGACTTTCTACAAAGAGCGGAAGAAGCCCGCCAGTTAGCAAGATACCGAATACGCCACCAACACCGCATCGATGCCGACCGCTACAACCGAGGAAGACTTGACACGCGATATGACGTTGGCGACAAAGTGTGGATATGGACTCCAGTACGACGACGAGGCCTCTCCGAAAAACTCATTTCCCGGTATTTTGGCCCCTACGAGATCGTACAGCGACACAATGACCTCGTCTACGAAGTCAAGCCTGCAGGCCACCTGCATTCGAGGCGACGCAATCCCACGGAGCGTGTACACATTGTACGGATGAAACCGTACTACGACCGATTCCAAACCTAGCCACCCCAATCCCTTGACGTACTGCAACCTCATTTTTACAAACTTGTACACACAAAAAAAAAAAAAAAAAAGTACTGAACAGCCTCATCGCAAGCATCGGGGCGATGCCGCTTGAGAGGGGGGATAATGCCACGAGGAATTGCTAAGGCGCAGTACAACGCAGACGTTGTTAAAAGAGGAACGCTGACGGCATCGCTACGACTCATGAAGCCCGCCGGAAGGCACGAGCCGGCCCAGCCTGTGCACGAGCTGCTACCGAGCAGCGGCAAAAAAAAGAGGAGAAGAAGAGGACGACGAGCGTTCGCTGCTTTCTCCCAGCTACTGTGTAGTTCTTTTGGCTTTGGGCACAAGTTCGCCCTTATTAAACCTTGTAAATAGGACGTCCCGTTTGTGAGGTTGTTATATCCGTTACAATATGTATGTATATATATATATGTATATATATATGGATGTATGTATATGTATCTATGTATACTATTGCATTCCATGCGTTTGATTGAGCTTGATTGTGTGCTGATATCAATACTCCTTTTGTTATCTTATGCCTCTGTCTATTAAAAAAAAAAAAAAGAAAAAATAGCACAGTAACTATGTGGACGTACGAATGCGAAAGACTTTGTATTCCTAACGCATTGTATATCAAATGTGTAACGATTTTTTTATATTTTGTTTACTGCCAATGAACTACTATTATGCCATGTAATATGATGTTGTAACATGTTACGGGTACCGGGGCCCCTGTCAGGCGTTGCTCGCCTTTAGCTCCTGTACCTTTCTTGAAGTTGTCAAGATCAAATAAAATCTTATTCTTTCTTATTCTTTCTTTCTTTCTTACACATTCTCTCACGCTAGGGTCAGGCAGGACACAAGCGGTACGCTACAGATAATTACAAGTTAATTCATAGAAAAGGACAATTGTGTAACAATTCTGGCTTGAAGAAGCCGCAACAAATCAAACCAAGCCCTAGACTCATGCACGCCACGTATCCAGATGTGTACTACACGACGAACAGATGCAGACTCCGTGGCGAGTCTGTCACGCTGATTCTCGTGCTATGAGAGTTGTGAGCACTCAATGAAGAATTCAGACAGCGTAAATCCCTTCATCTCTTCCTCCGCCAGCCTTCGCTCGCGCTAGTGGACAGCACTGCCAGCCTCCGCTCGATCCTGCCAGCCCAACTATGGGCCGAGAAATCCGCTTCGAGACCAGAGTCTCAGAAACGCGAAAGTGGCAGGTGTCGGGGCTCACAAAGACGACGCTAGAATCTAATCTCATTATTGATTCGGCGATAAATTTGCCTTCTTCTCCACCAAGAACCACCATGCTTGAAGCGTTTTCGCGACGACGTACTTCCACGTGTTCGCATGCATTTACCTGTCTACACTGACTTCTACCATAACACGACCAATAGGTATCAGCAATGTACGTAGAAAAAAAAATCTACGTTCTGAATTGTCGAGGTGATGCGTAAGCGTAGACTTTTACCGTATAGAAAAGAATACATTTCTGAAGTTCCCTAAACTTTGTTTTCGCGGGCCATCAGCGTGCAATATTTCATCTTGGCAGCCTTCTTGGCATGTAAAACAGCTCAAAAGAGGGCGCACACTGCAATAATCGAAACGCGTCTTGGGCTTTAAATTTTCACAGAGCGCGAATACTCCAGGCCTGCCGAAATTCTCATGACCATTACAACTCTCGACGTCGACATTACAGGTCGTCCTACAAGGGCCTTTATTGCCCCATCACAAAATTACTTGAACAACCGCTAAACAGCTGCTAAAAGTTGTTGCAATTGTTATTTTACCCGAAACAGCTGCTGAAAGAACAACTTCACAGCTGTTCTCTTAGTTTATTATACTTTTGTCACCAGCACAACTAATACATAGGGTTGCGAAATATTCACATTTCGCAAGTATATGAGTACGACCCAGAACCCAGTTAAGACCGTCACCTAAGGAGCATAAGGGGTGTTCAAATAAGGGGTATTCAAAAGGGTTCAAATTTCGCATTTACAACGAAAATTTGATTTACAAGTAATTTTATTATAGAGACTCATTCTTTATTTTTGTGACAGCTAGACAAACGAACAATTTCCTCGCTGAGTAGGCGTAAAAATGCTTAGGCATCTAAATTACCTTCCGTAAGTGTGCCTCTCCCAGCCTTTTCTACAGAGCTCATCGACAAATGCCGTACCTCATCATTCGCAAGTCGGCATCGTAGTCGGCCCAGGAATTCAGGCGTTCCAAAAATGCCGTATGCACGTTCAGCGAGAGGGTTTCTGCATAGGAGCGCGCCACCACAGGTAGTATCTCACGGGCGTAGTTGTTCAGCAGCGTCTTGCCAGCAGCGATGTAGGCACGGCTTAGGCAGAAGGCGCCGTGCAAGATCAGCGCTCGCGGTGGGTGCCCGTAAAAGTTAACGATGAGCTCGCCGTTGGCAAATAGTGCTGCAACCTGCGGAGTACGTGAGACGCTCGTTTTTTCTATAACTACAAGTTTTAACGACTGAAATGGTAAATAATTGGTTGTGAAGGACATTGGAAAGCTTGTGAATTTTACGACCAGATGTGGTGTCAAATGTCCGAAGTACACATTCCACTCCTTCTGCCCCAAAAGTTTGTGGTTAAGTAAGAATATCAGGCACTTTTAATACCTTACAGAATTGGTCGTTCAACTCACCAGTTAACTTTATATAGTGCCTGCAGCTGCCGTGCCGCGGCGTGGCGTACCAAGACAGGCTATAAGGAGCTGGTGGCACAGAGGCGTGCGTATGATGGCTCCCTGAGACACGCGACGCCATAAGCGTTCTAGACGCTGCAGACGCAATGCATGCCATAAAAGAAGTCACTCATAACATCTATCCATCCATTCATTCATTCATTCATTCACTCATTCATTCATTCATCGACCCATCGATATAATCACCCATGGGAGAAAAGTGATGAACCCTTGTACTACATGCGTGTATTCAAAGATCCTGGTCCTGCATGCGTGTGGGCGCGTATTCTCTGGTACTGTGTGTGTATGTTTTTGAAGGAGGCAGCCATTTTTGTACTACACTAACTTATTGTCGACAGGTTAGAGTCTAGAAACCAGGCATAACTTGACTTATCGCACCTGCACCGTGCACCAAAACACGTAGGCGTACATGTCCAGTTCCCCGTGACGTGCCAACAGGTTGACGAAGGTGCTAAAGAAGGCCAAGTTCCACGTGCGAAATTCAACTTTTCCGACTATTACCACTCCTTCCCGCTTCATGACCTCCAGCCACCGGTCCATTGACAGGTTGGCCGACGAGCTGTACACCACGTCATGCGGAACCGTGGTGACGTTCGGCGCGTTCCTGTAGAAATCTGCAATCAGTGGATCGAACATCTTCTCCTCCAGCTGTTGCATCTCCTGCGGAAAGAGAAGAGACAGAGTTGAGTGAGTGAACCAGTGAAAACGTGATTCCATAAGCAGCTTAGCAGTGTGGTTTTCTCGGCCAGTTGGTACACTATGTGATACTAGAAGGTTCCAGCAAGTTTCAGACGAGAGCACAAGATGGGAAAAACAAGCCTTGCCCTGTCCGTTCCTCTCTTCTTGAGTTCCCGTCTGAAAATTGCTGTGACCCTTTATTCTATAAAATTATCAAAGGCGAGAGATGGCCCCATTATGCAGCCAAGAAACCGGGGGCACTGGTGGCTTCTCCCGCATACTGTATGACCCGAATATGAAGCTATCAGTACAAGCTAAGGGACATGCCCCCCCCCCCCCTCCTCCACCTATCTTTATGCTCAAGATTTTATATTGGGATCACCAAAGGTCAAAGGGGAGATTTTCGGGAAAGCCGATAATATATAAAAAGACCAGTTTGTGACTGTGTCGAGGAAACGTATGTCCCGCCAGAACGATCGATCACAGGAAACTGAAAAAGAATTACACCATTTCCCGCTAAAGGGAATCATGTGCAGAAGAGAAGCAGCGGGCGCTAACGCTTACAATGTCGGCGACGTTGACGCTAGCGCACATCGCGGCATTGCGCAGAAAAGAAGCCTGGGGAGGCACAAAGCACGCAGTGATGGACCGGTGTTTTCTACTGGAGCATGTCAATCTCTACTAATGGGCAATGAGAGACTGAAGACTCTGATGGGACACAGATACTCGCAGTCCGCTTTTAGTAAGCGTGCAGGCTGCGAACCTTTATTAGAGAGTTTGAGAAAGGGAGGTCCCGGGAAGCTTGAGGACCCAAGAAGCTTGCGACGCGCCAGGGCACATGCACAGAACCAACGCCAATCCAAGGCTCTTGTGTTCTTCTTTACCCAAGGCCCAAAAATCTAAATCTAGCGTGCGTGCCCCCAAGGCGTCTTAATCACCAGCGAGACGAAGCAGACGCAAGCACGAGCTATGGTGCCGTATGGCCCACGACTCGCATAATTTTAGGGGCGAAGCTTCTTATATCGGCACCTGTTCGTCCCTCGTAGCCGTTGTAGTGTGTAACAAGTATAACATTTTGATCTCCAAGGTGGTGCCGGCGAGAGATTTCTTCTGTGCGTTTTTGAACAATAAAAAATAGTGCTCAATGTACATGCCAATGGCTGCTAATGGGGAATGAGAGACAGGAGCATTCGGCTTTTAGTTGCGATCCCCATTAGCAGCCATTGGCATGTACATTGAGCACTATCTGACAAGAAAGGGGGTCTACGTTATACTCACTGGGTGTAACCTCCTTAGTTTTAGAAAGGTTTAGCGATCGTTGAGCTCCAGTTCCATGAATACAATTAACTAGTATAAACCATGAACTCGAGGTGGTTAAAGGTGGGAAGTAGACCCGAAGCGCAAGCCGTACGAAAGTGTGCGTGTGCCACCTCTCGTTTGGTCCTTTGAATGTCCGCTGGATGGCGGTGCTTCTATATGGGGAATATATGATGAAAAGATGCGAGATGGTGGTACTTGGAGTGTTGAATAGATGGACGAACGGACACACAAACAGACGCATGGATGGACGCATGAACGGACACAGGGGCGGATGCATGGACGAACGCAAGGACGGACGCACGAACAAACGCACGCACGGACGGGCTGATGAACGCGTGGACGGTCACACTGACGGACGCATGGACGGACGGAAGCAAGAACGAATGGACGGACGAATTTTTCGCCCCACTCTCCATCATTCACTCCGTGGATATGCTGCAATTTTTTTTCAATCAAGAAACTCTCTTGCAGACGCTGCCTGCGTAGGCTTTGCGAGGCGAGAGGGGGAGCTTAGGAGAAAGAGGGGAAGGAAGGCGCATGCGCAATGGTAGTGTAAACGCCGCGGGGAGGAATGCTTAGAAGAGAAAAGAGGCGAGAGTAAGTTAGCAGACGCTCCTCGCGTCCGCGTTGCGAGGCGAGAGAGGGAGGAGTGGACGCACATGCGAATTAAGAATGGTCACGCCACACACCGGATTGAGCACGACCCTAAGCTGCTTCGCATCTACAAGACAGGAACGCACCTCGATGCACCAACTAGCCCGAAAACGTGTTGTACTAGAAAGTTGAAATTTCAACTGCGCCTTTAAATGTTTCGGCCGCATGATAACTGCTTTGCGATCGATGAGAACTGCTTGATAACGATGTCGCTACGTATGGCCCAGTTAAAGCACGTTCCAGGGTCAGTCAGTCAGTCGATGAACATTATTCATAAATTGTTTTGAGGAGCCGATGACTCTTTAGAGGGCGGGCATAATAATAATAAATAATAATAATAATATAAAAATAATAATAATAAGAAGAATAATAATATAAATAATAATAATAAGAATAATAATAATATAATATAATGACGATATCTGGGGTTTTACGACTTCAAATTACGACATGATTACGAGACTCCGTATGCAGTGGAGGGTTCCGGAAATTTCGACCTTGTGGTGGTATTCGGCGTGCTCCGACATCCCACAGTAGACGGGCTTCTACCACTTCGTCTACGTCGAAATGTGACCACTGCAGCCGCGATCGAACCCGCGACCTTATTGCCTGCAGCCAAGCACCCTAACCAACGGCTCCATCACAGCGGATTCCATTGATAAGTGCTAATCCTCGTTTGTATCTTACGTGCGATAGTAATCGATTCCCAGTCTACTGTTATGTGCAGTAGAATACAAGCTACAGATATGCGAGAAGCGTGCGATGATATGTGCGTGTTACACCACAGCAAAGCGTTGCGACAGGACAGACGATTTTCGTGTCTCACCCCAAATTACCTAACGCTCGCTTCGCTGGTACCTTAACCGACAACGTATAGTTGACAACATGGTTACTGCTGGAAAGACCACCGCAGGTTGGGAAGTCTGCTGGTTATTACAGATTGTCACATATATTAAAACACCGCAATTGAATAAAGAGGATGCTATATGGCAACACCAAGTCAGTGTATAGCAGGAAATCAGAGATCACATTTCTGAAAATGGGATCAGCGGAATGGAGGCGCTGCAACGACTTATCAGAATCGGATAGCAAGCACAGACACCACGGTGCATTGACACTGGCCGTCTGGTACGATCAGCTGACGTACAGCAAAAACAAAAGAAAAATAAACTAGAAGGTTCTAGACGTGTTATGTTATCTTGGTCGTTCAACTAATATATATTTTGGTAAGGTTTCACATGCGCGTAGTGTTACAGCCCATGCGAGCGTAATCTTGAGCATGGTATAACGTCAGCTGCAGTGTGGCGTAGTAACTTGCTCACCTCAAACGTAACGACGTCCGCCACTCCTTCCTCCGTGTCCCTGAACGCGTTCCGAAGACGGCTGAAATAGTGTACGCGGTAGCGCCTCCGTGCTGCGCTCGTTGTACTTGCGCACGACGAAGTTGAAGCCCGAGTCGGTGAGCACATATGCTTTGGTCGCGTTCTGGTACAGCTCGGGGTCCACTCGAAACACGGCGCTCCATCCCAGCGTGTAGTCGCAGTGGAACATCATGCGCAACAGGTCCCTTTTTCCCACGGGAGGCGGTCGGTGAGGCCACATTACGCCGGCGGCGCGAAGTGCAGACTTCACGGCGTCGAGCTCACCCGTTGGTGTCGTCAACACGGCGAGGCAGCTCCTGATAACAGTAGGGGGGGGGGGGTGTTAACATATCGAAACTAGGGTATGTCGGACAAACTTCGTAGTGGAGGGCTCCGGTAATTTTAGCCGCCTATATGGTTTTAACGTGCACTTAATCTAAGTACAAAGAGCTTCAAGCATTTTCGATACCATCAAAAATGCGGTGGCCGCCACCGGGATTCGGACCCACGATCTGAAAGCTAGCAGTCGAGTACCTTAACCACTTGTCCACCGTGGCCGGTTCGCGATGCAGCCCCTGCGTGCAGTTCTTCATTGGCGAGTCCAAAGATTGTACTGTGCTCGAGTCGTCACCTGAGGGGTGACGACTCGAGCACAGTACTATCTTTCTCACGTACAAACCGATACGATTGATTCTCTATATGTTTGGCACGTTCTTCTTAAAGGGCCAGCCGATAGGCTCCGAAACGCGCGTGACCAACCTCTTTCAACGCGCAGTGACGTCACCTCAGCGTTCGGCGACGTGACGTAGTACGCAGCTCGTTGATTGGTCTAAACCAAGGTATCCATAAACAGTAACTTGGTCTACGTCGCCGATCACCGAGTTGACGTCATCGCGCATGCAAGAAGAATGGTTAGGCGTACGAAAGATGCGCGAGCTTTTCCTATGCGTTCTGGAGCCTGTTGACTGGCCCTTTAAAACTACGGGTGGCGCAGTTCCTGCTCGTAATGTTGAAGAGGCCCTGTCTCACTTTTCGAGCGTGGCCAGAAAACGCTGCGAATCGTCAATCGAGGCTTCTGAGGACATTCGAGCCAAATTCTATAGCGCAGCACGCGCCCTGGAATTTAGAATAATTTCTCAAAGTTGACTAAAAATCGCTTTCTATTCTCTCGAAGAATGATGCTACAAGCTCAAAAATCACTGCGTCATGACTCATAGCATCGCCATTGGCTGAATTGAGCATGAGGCACTCGGCAATTACCAGGCCTCCACGAAAGGCTGCAACCTGTCCACGCGCGCGCGCGCGATCGCACTTAAAATCCGTACAGTTCGAAGAAAAAAGAAAGAGAAGAAAATGTCCCCACTTCTGCGAAGGTAATCGTGAGTAAATGCGAATGCATGTCTTGCGCCGAAAGAGGGTACCGTTGTTGTCAGACATTCGCCTTCACCGACTTCTGCCATCACCTTGAGAAGCGTCCAGACTGTGAACGGCCGAGAGTGAGGAGTGAGCGGACGGGAGAGTGGGGCGCCAGCGTTCTCGGCTCGGCGTTGGCGTTTCACAGCGGTGTCTAGAGTACACATTTTCAAATGTTCTTGAAAAGCGCCCAGCCAGCTAACGGTCAACAATGAGGCGCGAGCGGACTGGAGAAAGGGGTGCAGGGAGGAAAGAGAGTGACCGGCGAAGCACTGCACCTATCCTCTTCTACACTCTCTCGCATCAATTGCTCCGGTTGCAAGGGGCGAGGATAAGCTCGCAGCTGTTGCTGTGGGAGAGGGAGACAGCGGAGAGGTAACACCTGCCAGCGCGCGGACGTCGACGGATGCCTGACATAGACCGACTAAAAAATCCATTCGCATTTAAAAATGCTCAAGATGAAAAGGCGCACGTGTCTTACTTTATTTCCCCGTGCCATTCCTTCCAGCGTAGCTTTCAACGCTTTCGTCGGGACGAGAGGAGAGAGAAAACAATCGTAGCGTGTGACAAATCTTTGTAACTCTGCTCGTACTGGATGAATTTGAAAAGTTCTTGCGGTGGTCAATTCATCGGGCTATTGGCTCGTTTAGTGAATTCATGCCATGGTTACATAAAAAAAAGTATCGCGGGACAAACATGTCAAACTTCAGGAGCACCACGCTTATCGGTTACGAGGGAAAAAGTCGCGCCTTGATTGCAGACGCTTGATTACAGATGACCCTGATATCAAGTTTTTAAGACCAAGCACGAAGGTTGGTGACACAAAAGGAAATGTCTAGTGCTATCGAACACCAAAAACATCTATATAGTTCTAACAGTCACTCTATCTCAAAGTTTATATCTAAAATAAATATCTTAGAAACACCCAACTGGTGACAAACGTACTTGTACAACATTGCCGCCCTCTGGAGCAGGTTCTGTCCCGTAGGGGGCACGTCAATGGTGCGCACTATGCGCGCGATCCTCTCGTTGGCGGCGCCGAAGGCTTCCTCTTGGACGCCAAACAATTGGCGACGCCGCCAGCCGTCGCACACAAAGCGCGTGAAGCTGTGGCACGGGTCCACCGACGAGTTGATCGAGGAAATGAGCCGCGCAGCGTACTCGCGGCATGCGTGGGTTGTGCACGTGGATGGTTGGCTCGGGTCACTGCTGTCCAGGAGCGACGACAGCAAGAAGAAGAGCACGGTCAGAGACACCAGCAAGCACAGCACGGCGACCACGGTGTAACAGATCATGGTCGAAGGTTTCTGTCGATGTAGGCAGGAGAAAAGGGTAGACGAAGAAGATTCGCTGTGATGTTTAGATCCGGAAAGGGCTAGGTGCGTCAGAAAATTAGTGGGAGTAGAGTTTGGTCATATAACGTGGACAGTGGCATAGCCAGGAATTTGCGTACGAAAAGCAAGAGTGCTAGGGTGGAGGTCATTTCATACGGTAGCCTGTGCGACTACGGTACAAGCTACACGCCAACACCGTAAGGTCACCTCATAAATATGTGAAAACAGAGATATGTGTCCCTACGATGACCCAAATACGCGCACCGGAAAGTGAGTGTTGGGGGCAGCTTAGCAAGCAATGAAAGACTTAACAAGTGCGAACGCACCATGACTCCACTCGAAGAGCGACTGCCTATTGATGTCCGGCGCGCCGACGACGGAGTGTTGAGGGCCGCCGCCGCTGCGGCAACGACAGCAGGTGGCAAAGACGTGCGGCGGCAGCTATCATTGCCAGAACCTGCGTACAAGAACGATGCTTTGTGCATGGCCCCACATGTGCTCGGCGTACCAATGTTACCCGCGGTGCTGCTGTAGCGCGTGTGGGACTCCATGTGGCTGCCTCGACCCGACAAGTCCAGCAAGGACGGCATGGCCCGAGAATGCTGCGGCTGTGGAGGCTGTTTATAAGCGGCCACTCGTCGGACACTTCGTGGATTTATTTCGTCGGATGCTCGCCTGGAGATACCGACAGAGTGCTGCGGCTCATTGGGTGCTTTGCGCCCGCCGTCCTTTTCTGCCTGGTCGACCACGTGTCGGATGCCATGTCGGGGTGGATCATCGACTGGAGGAGTAGAGTCTGTCGAAGAAAAAAAGAATTTCGTTCCTAGGTGCCTGTATATATAACGCGACATTTCCAAGATAGCTCTTCTTACGCACGAATGGTGCGGTATAACGTATACCTCCCGGTCTACGTATGTTTGGGCAACAAAATGTGGCGAATGAAGAAACTCCTTGGTGGTTTCAAAGAGGCTACAGGAAAGACCCAGTCTATACCAATGTGCTAAGCACCCTGTAAAAACGTTCTAATGTATCCATAACAATATAACGAGGTGTACCGTATAGGTGCGACGTGACAAATAAAAAAAACAGTTTCAAACATTCAGCTGTCCCCATTATTTCGTAATTTGTGGACAATGACTTCGTCAGAGTACCCCTTAGCCTATAATTCTGTGATCGACGAGGTTAAGTACCTGCTTCTTGAGGCAGTTCTTGGCCAGCTTCTGGGCCTTGCGAATTATCTGGCTTGACGGGAGACGCCATAATGAAGGACTGCTCTAGCGATGCGGTCGAAGAGCTTGCTAAGCAGCAACTTGACGCTGTTCGCGACTGCAGCGTACGTCAGCCGTGGCTGGACGGTTCCGGGCAGGACCTACGGAGTTTTCAGAGTAGATTTGAACACACGATCTAGTGCACAGGAAGATAGGCCGCGTAACTATACCTCGAACGTCTCCCCTCCCTCAATCGGGTGCAGCCGTCTCAACGCTGTGAGTGGATGACGAGCCTGGTAAGCTAACAAGAATGCCTGGATTTAGATGTGTGCACGCTGGACGTGTCTTCTCGCAGGACGGAGTGCCCCGAGGCGAATCCGACGGTGTCCTCGTTCGCTGCGCGAGGCTTTTCTTCTTCGTGTAGCTCGCGGCACGTGCTTGCGCAAGACGATTTGGCGATGTCGATCACACTAAAGACGACGTGGTTTTTTGGAGGAAGCTGAGCCGTAGGACACGAATTGCGACCGTGACCTTCGCGAATAGCTTCGGCCATCTCCATTATCAATAAAGTGGTACACAGCACTACCGTTCATTTTTTACAGCGAAAGCTGTTATGAGAAAACTACTCTGGTCACGCGCCACCGTTGTTGTCCAGCCGCCGCCGCCGGTGTCCGTAACCACCACACAAAATAAAAAAGTAACCTAGTGCCAACGACACAGTGGGGATCGAAACCTGGTCCACTGGATGCCAGTTCAGTATTCTACTACTCATCCACACCAATGCTTGGGACTTGCTGGCAGACTTTCATTATACAGGCCTGATGTCGGGAAAGCAATCACTTTAATACCACTTATAAAACGTTTTAAAACAGCGAAAGAGTAACCTGTCGTCGCACAGTGCGAATAGCATAACGAGTGGGTCGTCCAATGCTCTAACTCATTAAAAAAGCTTGTTGGTTGGTTGGTTTCTCAAAAACTTGGCGCAACCAACCTAAGCGGATAGGCCATAAATAGGGCGATGCCTTGCTTTTCAAACTAATTCACTTTTGAAGGGAAGTGTGGAATTCATTAGGTCTTACAGGTATTAATTTAAAGTTGTACGACTTCAAAACACAGTAAAAACTTTGAAAAGGATAGCATAATAAGCACAAAAAAACAGAAAAAAAGACACCTACGTATAAAACAACTGAATTTAGCTATGTTTAGCATTTCTTTAGACTTTCGTAAGAAATTTGTAACAGCGGTAAAAACGCTCCTGTGGCTAAAACCAAATGAGATTGCGCCAAGTGAGAGAATCACCGGAAGTGACAAGTTTCAGTCTAACTTTCTGTTGTGTCCGGTGTTGTCATCGGCCCATAGACGTACGCGTAGGTCGCGGTAGTCCAAAAAGCTCAGGCAGCCTCGAACGGTTAAAAACAAGTTTATTCCTATTCGGATGGAGGCGGCGGCCGAACTGCCGGGGGAAACGACGGTGGCTCGATTGCGCCGAGCGGGGGAAGGGGAGGAATCAACATCTGGAAGCAGTTTCAGCAACCGGTGCTTCGCGGGTTCAGAGGCTCGCTTGTGACACAGGGGTGCTTGGAACACAACACTTTCGTAGGGGTTCTTCTAGTAGCCTTTTTCTTTGACTTTAAAATATTCGGCGTGACAAAAAGAAGTTTTCTAAAGATTTACTCTCATCACAGTGAAAGCGTAAAGGTGACCTTGCCAGATCCGACCTGTGAAGGTAAAAGTTCCATGAAGGGACTCGGCAACGCAGCATTGTTATCATTACTTCCTCCTTTCTTGATCAACACCACTTGTTCTTCCAAGAGAACTTTAGCTGTGGATAGTCTGATAAAAACAGAGGACAGACAGACAGACAGACAAAGAACTTTATTCAGGTCCTGAGGAACTGCGTGGTAACGGCCCCGTTTAGGGGGAATCCGTAGCAGTCGCGGGCCGCTCCCACGTAGGGACCGGAAGACCGTGGCCCTCCACCCTCTCGCAGGCCCTCTGGACAGCCCGAAGTTGAACCAAGAGGTCGCCGCTGTTAAGGGCTTCCTCCCAGTCCTCTCCTTTGTTGAACTCTGCGTCACGTAACGCAGGACATTGCCAGAGCATATGAGGTAATGAGCAATACGCCTCTCTGCAGTCCGGACAATGCGGCTCGATGTTGGGCGAAAAATGAATGAACCTGCCTCGCGAAGGGAAAGACCCCGTTTGGAGCATCCTGTAGGCAGATGTTTGCGGTCGCGTAAGTGTAGGATGAGGAAGTAGAAAAGCCCTCCGAGATAGATGATAATGAGTCATGATCTCGTGGAAAGTGAGTAGCGAGTCCCTGTATCTTCCGGCGTCCCCGCCTGCGAATCCGCCGGGACCGCCGCAGGTGAGCGATACCTTCGCGCACGGTCATGGGCAAACTCATTGGCGTTGGGGACATCAGGATGTATGTTGGCCCCCGTGTGGGCCGGGAACCATATTATGGTGTGAAACCCGGCAGCCCCCTCACAGCCGAGGATGGCCGCTGCCTCACGCGAGATCGAGCCCGAGGCGAAAGCCCTAGCTGCGGAACGCGAATCTGTAAAGACATTAGGACGCGATGGGTCCTTCATTGCTATGGCGATGGCGATTTGCTCAGCCACCATTGCCGAAACCTTTCTAACCGAGGCAGAGCATAGGAGTGTGCCACTATGATCGACCGAGACCACTGCGAAGCGATCCGAACGCCCGTACTGGGCTGCATCGACAAAGGTCGCGAGATGCGGTCTGTTTGCAACTGATTTTAATAAGGAACGGGCCCGAGCTATGCGGCGCCCTACGTTTTATTATGGGTGGACATTTCTTGGAAGTGGAGCTACCGAAAACGTGCCTCTGATCGAGGGTGGTAGTGTTACATTACGCTGGTTAGTCGCCGTAGGACCGCAGCCTATGGATTCCAGGATGCGCCTACCAGCCCTCCAGGACGATAGTCGCACGACCTGAGCCATCTGCTGGGCCTCGATCACCTCCGAGAAGGAGTTATGCATGCCCAATTGTAGGAGCTTCTCGGTGCTAGTGTGGATAGGCAAGCCTAGAACTCGCTTTATGCTTTTGCGCATTAGTGTATCAATTCTTGCCTCTTCTCTTTTGGACCAGCGCAACGCCGAAGCGACATAATTAATGTGGCTCATGAGAAATGCATGATAGAGCCGAAGGAGATTGCTCTCGCTCAGCCCACCCCTGCGGTTCGAGACCCTGAGTATGAGCCTAAGCATGTTCTCCGTCTTGGAGGTGATGCGGGCTATAGATAAAAACAGAGGAGTTTTTTTTTTCGAAGCTATTGACCGTTGTAAGTTTTTCAAAGCGTGCTGCTGTGGTATATTCAGATGTAGGCAAAATAGGTAGAACAGGACCATCACAGGAAGATACAGCTAGTGCATCTGCCTGCTCATTGAGAGCTAAACCTCTATGGCCTGGTACCCAAACTAGTCCGAACGAGTCGCACATGTCTGTGAATGAGCGAGTAGAATGTCTCTAAGGTACGCGAAAAAGTTGGTGCGCTTAAGGCAGCGCAGACAGAGCGACAGTCTGTTAGAACCACCGCTAATAGACCGTGGGGCAATTTACGCAATGCTACAACTATTGCCAGTAGCTCAGCTTGGCAAATAGGGGTAAAGTCGGGTAATGGAATTGAGAAAGCCCAATCTAGAGATGATGATACGAATCCTACGCCTGCCTTCTCTTCGTAAACGGAAGCGTCAGTCGCTATCACAATGGATGTTTTTAGATTGGCCAAATTATCTTCCAAAATGCCATTTATATACTGATATGGTAAATTTTTTGCATCCTTGGCGTATGTCACAAAACTGAGCGCTCAAAAAAGGGCGCGCCGCCAAATTCCCGCGATGAAACGCTGGAGTGAGGCCGCGAGGTCAACGATAAAAAAAGAAAACAAGCATCCAAAGACTTCCCCGGGCACGCGTCCCTCTCCCCTCGGAAGTGTAGGTTCGCCGACGAACCTCCTCACCCCACATCGGCGGCCGAGCAAGCCCTCGAAATTTCTCGAAGGAAAGGGGCGTGGTGATGCCGGGTTGAGTCATCCGTCGCGGACGGCCCCCCGTATCGTCTCGCCCTTTCCCCCAGCCTTCGCTGCGCATCGCGCCGACGAAATGATGAGAACTTTCTGGAATCTCACGTGGAAGGTATTTAATCGAGCAGCCGAGATGGGAGATCAGGAGAAGAAGGAAGTTAACGCCAGAGTGCGTAGGGTATCCCGCCGCGTCTTTCGGTGAAGGTTTTGTCCGTAGTGACAAAGCAGGAGAAGAAGAAAATATGCGCCAGAGAGCGTAGGGTGTACCGCCTTGTGGGCGAAGCCTTTTGTCTTCCGTGACAAAAGAGGAGAAGAAGAGGATTTCCACCTGAGGGGTGACGACTCGAGCTACAGGCAACAGTGTGTGTCTACCGCTATCGAGCGAAGACGCGTGGCAACAGCTGCGAGTGTAAAGCCGACGTGTATCCGGCGAAGAAGTTTGAAGCTTGGAGAGCGGCCAAGTGAAGACGCGAGGTTTCCTGGAAGAGAAACTTCGGGGGCAGCGGAACAACAACCGACGCGAGGTTTCCTCGAAGAGAAACTTCGGGGGCAGCGGAACGACAACAACGCTGGACTTTGAGTGAGTGATTCTCGGAAGAGTATTGTCACGGGGTCGTGACGTGGCCGAAGACAGGAGACTTCTTGTTGGGATTTAACTGTTTATTTGAGCGAACCTGTGCCCGGTAAACAGAAAGTCCAATTACAGCAGCAGTCTCGCAGAGATAGCAGTCTCAGACTGATAGCGGCGAACGGAGCGTCGGCCTTCGATCAACAACTGACGTCGAATGTTCTAGCGTTATCGCTGGCGGTGGCGTAGGTTCTAGAACAGTCTGTACCGTTCGCACAGTGGGCATGATCTTATCGAAATGATCTACTACAGCCCGGAACCTTCTCGAAAACTGCAGGCGCGGTTTGCTCTGAGAATCGTGTGGTGTTTTGGGACGATAACAAGAACTTGGGAAATGGAACGTGGCAGTATCATCCAGACTTTTGTTACAAGA